CCTCAGGTCTCCTGCTTCTTTAGTGAGCTTTAAAAGGGAGTAAGGCTTATTTTATGACCAGAAAGCAACGCAGTACGATTTGTCTCTCACCTCTAAACAATTTAATAGAAAAAACAGTGAATTTACCATTAAACACCAAGGTTGAAACTACAAAAAAAAAAAAAAAAAAAAAAAAAAATGGGAAAGAAGAAAGAAACAAGAAAAGGTTCAAAGGAAAGTAGGCACAAGTACAACAGACAGAAACCACGTCCTGTGCAGGGGAAATCAATGAAGATATCATGGCCTGAACTCAGTAGGCAAAATCCATGTCCAGGCAGGTTATGGGAAGGGACTTACAGTGACGCGCATGAACACCTGGGTGTGTATTATGGGCCGCAGAGCCTTTACACATTACCTGCCTCTAAAATCTGAAGCTAGACTAGGGGATGCTTAGTGTGCTCTCCCTGTGCACAGGACGGAGTTTTCCCCAGACCACTGTGGTCTAAGTGGAAATGGTCTACCACGTACGGCCAGCCCCGGGCTCAGAGCTGCCAGGGAGCAAGCCTCTGGGGTGCAGAGCCACAGCCTCGCTGTCTGGAACTCACTGTCACTCTGGAAGATCCCATTGTTTGCCTCTGTGGCAGGGCGGCCACCAGTCACGTGGGATGCTGAGCACTGAAACTAATGCCACCGGAAGGTTGTTTTCCATTTTAATTAATTGCATTAAATGACGAGATGCTGCACATGGCCACAGAGCACTGCACAGGGCAGATCTACCTGGAGTCCTCCTGCCAGCGCAAGTCAGCTTTAGGTGGACTCGACCCACAAAAGGGTTTTCTCTGGCGAAAATGCAGCAGGCCTGGCACTTCCTAGGACGCAGTAATCTCTGAAAACGCTCCTAGGATGCGACATTTGAGTTTAATCTGAGGGGAAACAAGTGATCCCTGGAGCTGGAGGCTGCAGGGGAAGGGCGTGGCGTGGCTTGAGGCAAAGGTGAAGAATCTGAGTGTTCACAGCACCTTCCATGCAAAAGAAAAGCAAGATTTAAAAACACAAAACATCCGCATCTTACCATACGCCCCGACCACGGGCTTTATATAATTTTATGTCATTTCTCATAGAAAACATTTATTCCCTTATGTACATTATGAGTTTTACGTTCTTTCCATTTTTTAAACATCACTTATGTTTTAATCATTAAATAAAATAGGTAACATTGCAACAGTACTGCCATCATTTATTACTTGGACAAGATTGAGATTCAGGAAATTTATGGCTATGATGTCATCAACGGTTTATAATTTATAAGACTTTGGATTAGACATCAGCACGGTTATTATTTCCTCTAATGCCGTACTTCACTGTGGCCTCGTAACATTCAGGAAATCCAAAAGACAAAGAGAAAGAGTGGTCTTGAAAGCTAAAAATAGTCGCTGAAAACTGATGCAATGATGTAATAAAATATGGTGCAATAACTTACATGATATGTTCAGGGAATCTGCTAAAGCAATTAGAGCCCCCATGGCTGGAGCTCTGCTCAAATATTATAAAAACTGAAAACTCTTTTAGCCCGGGACAGACACAGCAGCTCTGCACTTTAAAGGTACGCATGGATCCCAGCACTTGGAAGGCTGAGGCAAGAGACCACTGCAAGTTCAAAGCCAGCCAGGGCTACATAGTTAGAGAATGCCTCAAAAATAACTAACTAAATAAACGTGTACATGAGTCTTAGGGTTTCCCTCTTATTATTTATGTGTGTGATCTGTTTAACATTGTTCAAAAACAGAAAGTGACTGGTAGGAATCAGAATTCAAAGGCTTTCTCAGTAGACCCAGTGAAGCATAGTATATTACATGGACAACATGAGGACGTGAACAAATAGTTGTATTAACACAGGTTCTTTCACAGTGGTGCAATAGCTTTGCACATCTCAGAGGACTTGGTCTTTGGGAAACAGAGCAGTGCTGGTGTTCTTCATGGCAATGACCGTGAACATACAAAACATGCTGAAGAGGGCTCCCTTTTGATTTAATACATATTCTGTTTAGTACCCTTGTATTTTAGTCAACTCTCAACAAAATATTTTAATAAATTAGCAGTTATGCTCATTTTCAGAAATTCACATACTAAGAAGATAATATTTTCCTAGTTTAAGTGACATTTTTCTTCAAAGAATTTTCTCAGCTTGTCACTTGTGCAGCCAAGGGAAGGATCAATGCTTCCCACTTGGGGGAGGCTGAAGGATTCACACAGAATTAACGTCCGGTTTAATTTTTACTAATGAAAATGTAAATGGTCATTCTCACTGTGTCATGAGAGATTTTGATCAGTGTGACACAGAATGGTTTATTGTAGCAAGCATACAGCATGGAACTGAGGAAAAGATTTCTGAAGGCATACCAAGGGTGTTTTATGTGCATTACTACAATGTATCGTCACATCAGTTATGAGATTTGTTTATCCTCTTACAGAGGAGGAATCTGAGCTTCATGAGGATTTAGTGGTTTCCCCAATATCCAGAGTTAATAAAGACAGCACACAGGTAACACTCAGTTCTGCCCACTTTCGGTATTTTGGGTCCCAATTAGGGTAGGACTTTTACTCTACAAACATTGATTTGTAAGAAATGTCGTTTCACTGTTGCATGCAGAAATCAGGTTACATCTACTCCTCTCCCCCATCTGACTGAGCTGGAAAGAAGATGTAGTTTGTTTTGCGCTGCTGGATCATGTGCGAATCTAAAATATTTACATGGTAGAGACTCAGAGGCCTGAGTAAGAGTTACGCTGAGCAGAGAGATATTGAGTATCCGTAAAGGAGGCGATTAACCAAGTATTTATTTATGGAGTTTTTGAACATAAGGAAGGAAACGTCTGAACGTATTACCTGACACCGTGACCAAGAATAGTTTTCATCTTCTCTTGACCCAGAACCAATGTGCTTAACCTTTCTTCCTGTGAAGTCTAAACCTTTACATTGTAAATCAAATATTACATGAGCCCGGAAGTCCTTCTCCCCTACCTTGGCATTCTCTGATTAACCGGGACACATGATCCCAGACGCTGGGGCCTCTTTCTTTAACGGGAGAGCTCTTTCATGTTTGTCAGTGTTGTAAAATGTCTCAAGAGTACAAAATGGCAACAATATTTTAAGAAATCTTTCCCAATATGCCACCGTTTCTCTCTTCTTCTTCTAACCTAGTATACTCATAGAGGTAAAACATTTAAACCATTTCCTATGATTTGCTTAAATAAGGCATATATTTTCTCAGTTTATCTATTTCCTAATTTTAATGGAAATACCCATATGTATCAAAATATGTATTAGAAGTTTCTTTTATGTCTTTATTAATATATGTCAATAATTTTCAAGATATAATTGTCACATTCAAGTATCTATGATAAATTAGATTTGTGGACAACTTGACTATTCCTCAATTTATGGGACTCTCTTTAATTATATTTCTTTCATATTGTGTTGAAAAATTTAACAATAAACATGGGTATTCATTTTTCATATTATTCCACGATAATTTTGGTATAATTAATATAAATAGCATTTGTTTCTTATTTTGCTACATTAAAAATGCTGCATATAAATCTTGTAATTCTCCTGGTAAGTCTTCAAGGGTAGATATTCTTATGCACACTGGCTTTCAGGGCCAGAGCTCAGAGGTACAACTTGGTGACTAGAGGTCCAACTGCAGTCCCTGCCCAGCTGCACCGGTGCCCACTCACCACCCCTGCCACTGAACTCAGGACAGCTCTGGGGAGGCCCTAAATGACGCAGTGTGCAGTGTAGACCTGCTCTGCAGAGGCTTCCGGGCCAGGGACTAGTAGGCACCAAATGCCAGACCCATGCAGGGAGCTGGCACCAGAACACGGTGGCTGCTTCCCTTTCCTGTCTCCTTCCTGATGCAGAGGAGTTTTAAGAGTCACAGTCTGAAACCCTGCCATTAGCTGCATCAGAAATATTAAACGCTAAATAAAGTGATCTTTACTGACTGTAAAAGGAACCCCATTTACTATTCTAGGAAGATAGAAAAATACTTTATGTGAATAAGAGAGAAACCGCCAGCAAAGCTATTATAATTCAGGCCATGGATACGTTAATGTGCTGCTAGCAAAAGCGTATACTCTGCCCGGGCTACTCCGCAGCACACTGGGTCTGAAAGGCATGCTCAGAAGTCTTTCCCAAACCACTGCACGGCCACATAACCGCTGCACAAGTTAGTCAGGAGCCAGTTACCTCCTTAGCGAGGAGCATGCTGTCATGCTGCCCGCCACCGTCCCACTCCAGATCCTAGCATAATTTTGTGTGCAATCAAAAGTTCCTCCCTGCGTCTGGGTGTCAGCCCCCAACAGAGCAGGCTTCCCTGAGATACAAATGTGCGCACTTCTGATGGCACCGCCAGGCTCAAACCCCAGGCGGTGTGAAGTTTCCCACATACAGGGCCGAGAAAGCTGGGTTCAAGTGCCTGACTGCTGCAGGGTAGCTTAAAAGTTGAGGAGCTTCACGAGAGCCCCAGAGTCGTACCAAGGTAGACCGCAAAAAGACAGCAGCACTGGCCACTTAGCTCTTATTGCTGGAGAACACCCACCAAAACTGCGGACCGCGAGATGTATTCTAGGTGCCTAATGTAGTGGATTGCTACGCTCTTCTCTATCATGGAAGAACATGGGTCATTTTATTTCAATTTAAAATTATTTCTCCAAGAGCCATTAGCACAGATCTTGTCACATCTGTTAGAAAAATGCCCTCTCTCTGCCTCAGTTCTCATCCTGTGCCTTAGGATTCCTCTGTACACTGTGACTACGATTTGCTCTCTGATACTAAAAGCCACCACCAGGAGCAGCTATTTGACAGGAAAAGCTATTTTGACCCACTTAATTCACTTTGTCATCTCTGAAGTTTGCACTCCTTGTAGTACGTGACTATTCAACCTCTCTCTGGTTAGCTAGCACATTGAAAGCACTTCCTTTTGTATATATATGAAATTCCTCCTTCGTTTTAATCTACAGGACAACATTTTTAAACTGGAGGACTCACACTTTGAAAACGGCCGTGGGAAGAGTCCGTACGACCCCAAACTGCTGACGGCATCTCTTCTAATAGGTACGTTACCAACAACCATTCAGAAGTGAAGCTCTCTCTCGCGGAGGAGCCACCTTCTGCTTTTAGCCTGCTGAGCTTTTCCATTGTTAATCACAAATAATCTGAGGAGGAAGACACCAGTGATAGACCCAAGTATTTTGAAGATGATGGCAAACGCTGAATGCTATTTTGGTTCTGAAACTTTAGTCTGATTCTTCTTCACCACAGTGCTTTAATAGCGTCTTTAAAACACCCTGCCCAGTCTTTGCACATCCTCATTTGAACATAATTTCGTTAAAACCAATTGATTTTAATTTTATAAAAGAGGGTGTTTAAAGAATCGGGAGAAATAGCATGAAGAATGCCCTTCTATCTCCACTGTGAACCGCGGCCCCAGTTTAGGCCAGTCTCCTGGGGCTGTTGCATGACGTCTCCATACAGCTGGGGGAGACCCCCTGTGGCCCTCGCCCCAGCCGGCTCATTTTGCTCTCTGGCTGGGAAAGCCACGCTAGCTCGGAGAGAGAAGCCATCTGCACCCGCATTTAGTGGCTTCGGTCACTCTGCTTTGTAGGTAATCAACTATAACCCAGCAGTCTGTGTGCTTTTTCTCTATCATTTCCTCTTGCTATTTTTGCCAAGCTTTCTGTTTTTGCTCTTCTCCTTCAGCATTGCAGATGGAAGGGAGCCCTCGGTTACAAGTAGGGAGACGCCAGTAATAGAAGAGGGAGGGCTTCTTATCCACATTGAAAGGCAAAGGATTTTATTTGTGTGTCCTTTTAACCATCTCCAGACCGCAGTTAAATAAATAAGTTAAATCAGTAAACAGCCAAGAAGTGATCCATCGGGAAGCAATTTGTCCCTCATGCCCCCGGCCCCTCCTTCCTTCCTTCTCTTTTTCTTTCTTTTGAATTTGTCTCTTTTTTGATAGCATCTGAGCTTACTGACAACATGTAAACCTTCTGAGTAATGATTTCGCTCCTATTTCTTCTACATAATCATGTAGAAATCATGTACTTTTCCCTTCCCTTTAAAGTAGAAGCAGTAACTACTTGATAATACAATAGAGGTAATAATGAAATTCATCAGATATAAAATGACTAGTGGGATTTTGAATAATGGATCTAGGTTTATGCACAGTGAACTAGGTTATTTTCTGATGTGTCATAAGTTCATAAACCTTTTCACTTTTATTTTGCAAAGAACATGTTTTTCTATTCAAGAAAATAAAACACTACTCACATTGTCTACTCCAGAGTTTGCTTTATTATTGATCCCTGTTTCATTGAGAATAAAACCATCTCAGTGCAAGTTACCTCTTCTGTTGCTTTTCACATTTGGACAGTTTTATTCCACTTGATCCATTCAGATAGCGTCTTAAGATAAGTGCAAAAGTGAAAGAACGCGGCTCAGTTTGCACACCTACATTTCTCCAATTCCCAGGATCCCAGTGATTACCACGAATTCCTTCCTCTGGCTCACGATGGCCTTAAATTTGAAATTTGCCTTAAACAAAGAGGAGGAACTATACATTGTCCTAATTTGCAACCTATATTTATTTAAATTGCACAGTGAGAAAATGCTGGATTTTTCTTAAAACACGGCATGCACAAGTGTGTCCAGAGTAGCTTTATTTGTGGAATGTTCCTCAGCAGGGTTCTGCTTGATTATTTATTTTAATATTCCGTCGAGAAAGGACGATGACAGGTGGGAATTACATTCTTCCTGTGGTATGCAGCTGCATGAACTCCACAAAGGGTACGAAACTCCGCGGTTTGGTTTTGCATTAGACTTTCTTTTAGAAACCTACACATAGGTTAATGGAAAGGAAAAGACAATGAAAGAAACTCAGTGACTCAAGTGGCAGAGAAAGAACAATAGACATTTGAGAAAAACAACCTTATTTGGCATTCCAGACCTTAACGTATCAATTCAGCAGCATAATTTAATAACTGGCAGAGATATAAAGTGCTTATTGACAAGGCTGAATAATTTAATTTTTGAGTAGGAGAACGGCACAATCCTGAAATGGAAACAGATCTTAATAGGTCCCATAATATCTCTCAAAATACCTGCAAGTCCATTTTAATTCAAGAGCAGTGACTCTTAAATTGAAGTTATTTGTTTCCTTCACAACCGGGTTATAAATTATTCTTCTCACACCACACGCAATGCTCCTCGCTGAGTTTTTCTTGGCATTTTCTTATACTGCTTTGCAGAGAATGTGCACTAGTTTAATGGAGCTTTTAACGTAAATATCACCCACAGCACTTCGGAAACTGCACCTAGAGAGGACCAGGGGTTTCGGAGGGCTGTCTCCAAAACACTCAGCTTGTCCTTTGTGGATCTGGAGACAGCCATTAGGAAAGCCTGACATCCTGTTTAACCAGGATACTTTCCCCTCATTTCGGCCCATAACATGGAGATTCTCACGTGGTTCCAAGCTGGAAAACAAAATTGCAGGGTTGTCTCAAGCCATCTGTAACCTGAGTAGATGGATCTTGACAACAGATATTTTTTATACTTCCAATCCCATTACAAGATGCTTTAACCTCTAGTAAACTGTAAAACCAGACAACAGATGAAACATTTGATTTACACAAGCTATCAAGGTTTAGGATAACTTCTTTCCAAAATGCCATGGACTTTTAAAATGATAACCGTAGAAAATATAGTTTCCTCCTGGCGGCCGCAAAATTAAGTTCCCCAAACCTGCAATACAACCTCAGCATTTCCCGTCACCTCAGGAAAGTCAGTTTCACTGCTCATCTCTTTAATCATCGTAATTTTGTCAATAAGAAACTGCCACAGAATTTGTACTTAACGTATTGATGATTTCTTCCGTCTGCAAATATCTTTATGAATTTTTCCTTATTAACGATAACATTTGCTTCCCCACTCAGAACAAATCCCAGGTGTGAACACAGCCTGAGAATAGAGCCTGGGGTATTGCACACTAATTAAGGAGCAGCTCACATTTCCATGGTGTGAAAGAAATGGTCAACTTGAGAGCAATTTACTTCCTTTTGAAATAAAAATTTTGAAATCTTTTCCAGGCGTTGCAGCACTAATGGTTAAGAAATATTCCATCACTAAAAGACATTGAAAACTGTTTCAAAGGCCCAAGGTTTTCAGCTCGGGGTTATATCTTCAAGCTGGAGTTTTGTCTTGCCTCCATCAAGAACACAGTTTAATATTAGGAAGGGATCTTCTGGATCCCTTGTTATTACAGCAAGAAACTCCCTAAGTTAACTGAATATCATGGAGAAAATTATCAGAATCTCAGTATATATATATATATATATATATATATATATTTGCCAGGCTAATACCACATGCTCAATGTGAGAGAGAAGACAATGTAATAATTTACTACTATTTTGAGTGTGTGCATATTTCTGGAAAATATGTGAGGTAGGAACAAATTAACAACAACAGAAATGGGAAGTGGCTGTTGTCTGTGGGGAGGTTCAGAAGCAGATCTGTTATTTATAAATTTTATATTTTTAATTTTTTACTTTGTGCACACTTTAGTGCTCAAGAAAAAAAGCTGTGTGTAAGCGAGCAGTGTAAGTCACAAAACTTGCACATCCTAGGTTCAGAGATGGTGCTCAGTAAATAGAAAAATGTGAAATGATTTCCACACTCCGGGCAGCCTGGCGGGGTGGGGTGGGGGGCATACATTTCTTGTTTCTTTCCTTCTGTTTCTGATTACTGAGCTGCTCTGCCAGTGGAATTTACTCAAGGTGTTAACAACATAATGGCGTGGTCATTAGGTTTGTTTGATTTTGCTCACATCCGCGCCCCTGCTCTGGGTACCAGCAGGGCGGCCTCCAGGTTTGCAGACAGCCACCTTCTGTTTCTCCTTACCACACCCTTCTCAGGAATTGCAATCTGATACAAGCCATAGTTTTACTTGATTCTGAGCTTTGAGCAGAAAGCCTGGAGTGCGTGTGAACTCTGGTTGTGAACACGAGCTTCTCAGAAAGCCGCCTTGATTGAGTACAGTCCACCAAACTCCCGGTGGAGAAGGCCTTGCTTAGGGACGGTTGGAAGCCTGGCCGTGGATTCAAACAGCAGCGACTTTCATTTGTGACACTTTCTAGATGGTTGCTTAGATCTGTCAGGACCAATTTCTCTTAGTCTGGCCTATTATTTTTAAGATATCAATTCTTTTTTTTTTTTTGGTCTTTTTCCTTTTTATCGGTACCGGGGATCGAACTCATGACTGCCTGCTTGCAAGGCAGGTGCTTACGCCGCTGAGCTAAATCCCCAGCCCCTAAGATATCAATTCTTAAAGATCAGCTTGGATGGATCACCAACTGTTTTCGATGCATATAAAATTCCTAGAATAGTACAGCATTCTCTCAACAATTTGACCACGTCGGCAAATGTTGTGTTTGCCTTTCCTTTGTGTGTGTCAGAATCACAATGCCACTTGAATCATCATTGCAGAAAATATTTTTACTCCAATATACTACTTTATATTTACAAGAAGACTTATATTTATGGTCAAAAAGTTGTCAAATTAGCATTCCACTCCAGAAACAGCATGTAGAGCTGGGGATACAGCCCCTGCCTGGAAAGTGTGAAGGTCTAAGTTCAGTTCCCAATACCAAAACAAAATCAACATATGTTTGATAACTGTATAAATGTCACAGAAACTACAAGATAAATTCAATGGTGGGCTTTTGTTAAGCACATCTGTTTTCCAAAAATAAAGCAATTGAGGGTAACACATTTATCATGAGATATCAGTTAGGTCATTTCTGATAGGGAGAAACACACACCTTTAGTACATCTCAGATGTGTTGGAGGACGTGAACTGACACATACCCTGGGTTAATAGTATTTTTTTTATGAAATGCACAAGTACGATACTTTGCAACCTATAAACACAACAAAGATGCCATGCCTCATCTGAGGTGGTGACGCCTGATAAGGTTCCTGCACCAATCTCAGGGGGAAATCTGAGCCAAGGTCTAGGGCAAGGACACAGTGACTGGCAATGACCACGGACAGGAGAGAAGGTGTCCTTAAAGGCCACCCAGCACTCTGTACCTCCCGGTCAAGACCATCACCCTGATTCCTGCCAAAATGATATGCAGGGAGAGGTGACTGCCTATGGCTGCAGGCAGCCGGTGGCTGGGCTGCCAAGTGCCTTTGGCCTGTGAGTCCACTCTGACGGCGAGCCCTCTTTGCAGTAGTAAGTTGAGTCACTCTTTCTTCTACTGAGAGTCTACTTCTACTTTGTCTGAATGACTGTCCTACCTGTATAAAAGAGGAAATCAGGCCCTCTGCCTTTCTTTTCCTTTTATTGGTTTTTTGCTATCCTCATATGATATTGAATGAAACAAAAAGTTATAATAAGGCCAGACAAGTGAAAGAGAAATTAGCATATTTCCATAACCAAATAAGAGTTCCATTGTTATTATGGTTATCCCAACTCCCTCCTGGGTCAGTTATATGAATAAGGACTGCATAACTGATTTAACTTATTTAATGAAGGTAAATGACAAACAATGATCGATGGATCGTATTCATGCCCATATCTGGTTAGCTCACCACTGGGCATGGCTGCCTGCCGGCACAGGGATGCTCTGACATTCAGCTGCTCGGCCTTTGCCTTTCCATCGCTCTGTTCTGACTTTGGATTTGGGTCACTTAACCCGTGCGTAGCCAGTGGGACTCAACTAATAATCCAAAGCATTCAATTTGCAAGACGGGAAGGGCGCAAGGCGTCCTCCCTAGGTGTCCCCACTGTACTTAGGCGTAGCAGGCCAGTTCAGCAGCTTCCCCCAAAGATGTTAAACCTCTCATTCCCAGGTGAGGAGCAATCCTCACCCGATGCTCACTGATGTGTCACCTTTAGGCATCCAGTCTGTGAAGATATAAAATGTGAACCTTAATAAAAACATTATAGAGCTTGAATATAGGCTAAAGTTAAGGAGATAATAAGCACTGAATTACTTCAAAGCCTTTCAGATTAATAGGTAGCTTATTCGGAGCATTTTTAAAAAGATTGTTTCTTAACTTCCGCTCAGGTAAAATATTGCTGCATCATGTTTTGACGAGATCAAGTCAGACTCATGCTGGACATTTAAGATACCGCAGTGTAGGGATGGAGGGTGCCGCCTTCTCTATTCACTGAGCTAGAGATTAGTACTCACCATCTTGTATCTTGGCTCCAATTCCATACAAACGGAATCTTCTGGCCTCATTTTCCAAGATAAGGTGTCTGTGCCCAGGCGCAGAGCCAAGCGGCTTTCAGTGAAGGTGCTGCTCACGTCCTCTGCCGCTCTGGGGATCCTGGAACGTGAGCTCCACAAAAGCCCAGAAGAGACCCAAGTGTCTACCAAAGAGCTCGCCGTGGCCTGGACTGAGCAAATCTACTTCCCACTCAAGGCTGTTTTTTTTTTTTTTTTTTTTTTTTTGAGGGAAAATTGAGCCTTATAAATGGAGAATTGTATGTATAGAAGGCATCAGATTGCTGAGACCTTCCAACGGTATTTCTACCTGAAGGCTCACAGATCCTTCCCCCGTGTACCTGAAGGGAAAGGCCCTGAGAGGGAGATAGTGTCAGACAAAAGTTTATCGGTTACTTATGTGCCCTTTGCTTCCGAGTAGTTTGCGAATCAAAGAATTTATGACATTAATTCTTCCAAATATCAGCAGAACAAGACTCAGGTTTGCTGTAAGCATTGTAGATTTTTTAAAATGGATTGCAGATTACTTGAAGAAATGTTACCATTTTGGTGTTTTGTTTTACACACACAGCGCAGTGCACCTAGGCTGGCGGGGAGTGTGATTCTGAGGAGGTAGCTGGCAGCGCTCCCTGTAGTAAGCTTGGGACACAGTTTTCACCAGCCTCCGTGCTGACGTGAGCGGAGCTAGTGAACTGGCCTGGGCTGGCTCCACCTCGGCCGCCACGGCCTTTGCCGAGTGCCCGGGCTCCTCGGACTGGACCGTGAAACAGGAAGCGCGCTGTTTTAATCCTAGTTCTGTTGATGGCTACGTGAGACAAGGTGACCAGGCACGCCAGGGTGACCGCTCACTGCACAGGTGGTTGGGGTTCAGGGTGTGTAACTTTCCCTCCTGCCCTGTTTCCTTTCCCTCTGATCCTTATTTTCTAGCTGTGATTCCTCCACCACCAAAGTTGACCTGAGAGTTTACTGAGTTTAAGAACCAACAGGGGGAAAACCAGGGGAATTTTGAACTGCACTAATTATGAGCTTGGCTCGCCAGACTTTGGTTCCTCTTCAAATGCATTTGAGTTGTACCTGCAGACTATGGGTGGCTTGTTGGGAGCTGTATAATAGCTTGTGCCAAATGACAACACTTCTCTCACTAAATGCATTAAAAATAAAAAACCTGGAAAAAAGGGGCAAGGAAAACACTGCTTCTTTCTAAATAATGAGAAAATCTCATTAACTCAGAACCCACTAGATTAAAAATACATAAAAGATTTCATTACCGTTAAAAAAAAAATAGCTAGAAGCAAGATTTCACAATGATACCCTACTTGTATAAGTTTATCAGAGCCATGGTAGTTTCAAATAATGGAATGTAGTTTATATTTTGCATTTTGTAGGTTTCTCAATGGCCAGAGAGGAAGAGGTTAAAATTTCCCGCTTTGCCCATGTTCTTAGGGTGATACCAAAGTATCAGACTCAGATGTAGGGTGGGCATGAATGATCAAGAACGACAAAGTTGGTAATTTGATGAAAAAATTCCCCCTGGTGGACCCAGGGCACAGAGCAGTCGGCTTCCTGCAATGGCCCAGAGCATTTCTGCCCTGGCTTCTGCACAAACGCGGTCGTCACAGGGACTTTGTGAGCTTTGCTTTGTCCTTCTTGCCTCGCTGAGTCAAAGGCTCACTGTGGTGTTCTGTTGTCCCCACCCAGATGGAGAGCTGTACTCCGGCACCGCCGCTGACTTCATGGGGCGAGACTTCGCCATCTTCCGGACCCTCGGGCACCACCACCCCATCAGGACGGAGCAGCACGACTCGCGATGGCTCAATGGTAGGTCGTGGCGAGGACTGAGGCGGAGTAGAGAGCGCCCCATTATCACCCCTAACCTGCCGGGCTTGGGGTCTGCAGTGCTCATGAGCTTTCAGTGGAAACTTCACAGCCATGGCTGTGAGAAAGTTGGGCAAAAAGAGAGATTAAAACTCAGGAAGTTTTTGTCTTGTGTCAAATGTGATGGTTCTCAGGCGTGAGCCATGGGAAGAAAGATGTGGGCTGAGCTACAGAAGGGAAGCAATGGAAAAAGTCAAGCCCTTGGCCAGTCCTGCCTGGCAGGGCCCAGATGGAGCTCACAGGGCGACCCCTGGCCCCTCCTCAGCATGCCGGGCAGACAGGGAGGGTGGGGTGCAGGATAGATCGCCTGTGCTGCTAACCCTGCAGTGGGTCTGAGTCCAACCTTTCGAAGGACTTCTTGTCAAGTTTCTGTTGGTTCACCCTACTCTTCCAAAACTACCTCTCCCATTTCAGAGGTGAGGCAACTGAGGACAGTATGTTTTCTATTCTCGTGGCAGAAGATCTGTGTAAGAATCCAGTTTCCTGAACTTCAAAAGCACTGGCTTAACTAGCTTAAGTAACTGATATTTATAAATCACTCTTTCTCATTTTTATGCAATATGAAAATTTAGTATAGTGGAAAGTATGCAAAAGACATGTTTCAAATAAATAATAGTTTCATTCTAATTTTTAACTCAATGCTCCTACCGTAGACTATCTAGAGGTTGGGTTTTTTTGATTATCCACTTACACACACATCAGTGATTACCATAATGGTGTCGGTAAAACCATCTGTTTTTTAGTGTTAAATCTGCCATTACGCTCATGAAATAAAACTGCCCGACCCCCACCCCCACCTCTGAGCGTTCCTTTGGTCTCCCGTGCTTCACCGGTGAGCGTGAAGCTGCAGCTTGCAGTCCACCCACGGTCTCAAGGAGGGTACCTCCGTCGCTCACCCTGCGATTCTGCCACATTTACCTTTCCTGCTTCCCTCCTTCAGTGGTCCACGGAGGAAGCGATCACAAGTCCAGTCCTCAGTGAAATTCACCCGGCACGAGCTGCGTGCTTGTTCTGATCAATCCTGTGTTCCAAGTGAGAAATCTGAGCCTAACACAGGCCTCAAATGACCTCAGCCAGCATCTCCTTCGTCTTTCACCCACATTTCTCAGTGTCCTATCATTTGGCATGCGTTAGGGACAAAGACACGGCTCTTACTGTGTCATCTGTCCTCCCTTCTGTGTTCTACGTTGCATTAACATCCTGCCCCCAATCACCCCATTTGCATTTCTTCGGCTGTGCTGGTCTCTTTTCCGCTGTTAGTTTTTTCCTCTGGCCTTCAGTGGTGCTCCCCTACCCCACGGAAAGCTTTTGCTCCTGACAGTGCTAAGCCGAGTGTGCCCACAGCCTCGGGTCAGAGCCCGGCTGGTTTTGAGTCTTCAATGCTTCTTCGCCCTTGCTACTTCCGAGGGTGCCCTGCTCTCAGCAGAGGAGCCACTGACCCTCCCCAGGAGAGCCAGGCGTCCTGCGTAGGTTTTTCAAATCAGTCTCCTTGAGTGTTTGCCGTGCCTACAGTTCCTCATGGCTGTGGTGGTGAAAGGGCGCTGGGCATCTGGTCACATCCCACCCCACAGGGATAGAGGAGAGTGAGCAGTGCCTGGGGACCCCGAGGCACAGGAACCCCAGGAGGGAAAGGAAGAGATGCAGGGTTCCAGAGATGCCCTGAATCCAGTTCCAAAGAGGACGGTTTCAGAGAACCCACTGTCAGGTACTAACACCTGGCTGTGTGGGGGTAATTAGTAAGCAAGGGCTTCTATTAACATTACAGCTGGTCCATTCTCCACTGGAAATATTTTGATGGGAGAAAAAAAGTTTGTTTTTTTATTCAGCAAGAAGGTGATTTTGATCCACTTGAACTCCAAGGAGCCTAAGAGCATTCACCGTCCCCAAGAAACACACTCTCATTAGGAGATGGACTAACTAACTGAAAGGAGTGTAGAGTATCCATTTCACTTTTCAGAGAAAAAAGTCACCCAGTGAAAGCCACTTTCATGTCAGGCACTTCCAGGCTGACAACCGAGTCTGAAGAATTGACGCTGTGGGAAAAACCGTCACCGTCCGCGGCTCTGTTCTTCATCTCCTAAGCTGGGTGTTCACTGGAGAATTCCCTTATCAGTCTCTCAGCACTGGGTGTGAGAACCGAGTTTCCCAAATTAGTGCGAAGCCTCCATCTGACAGGCTGTAGAAACCAGACGAGGCTGCTGACACGCCTGAGATAGAACGGAGGGGCTGGGACACGCTGGCCTCCAAGGATCAAATCCCGCAGCACAGCGAAGGTGGACGCGTGATGTTTACACACGCATGCATGAGCTGAGAGAGCTCTGAAGCGTCCGCGGAGGCTGCAGGCATCCTGGTGCCAGAGGCACAGAGGCCGTCTCTCGGATGCTTCTCCCGGAGGCTCTGGGGCCACCCAATTAATCTCGGAGCACACCTTAGTTTTCTCAAATCAGTGCTTTCAGAAGAATCAGCGTAACTACCTGAGGTGATTTCAGTTTTTCCTTTCTGTTAAAGGAAAAGAAAATATAATTGTTTAGACTTACACCATGATATAATTGTCCTTTCGATAGGAAGAGTGGATTTCACCACTTCGTGCACACTGTATTGTAATTTAGATGATAGTTTAATACAGTCACAAGATCAGTTTTGACAGCAAAGAATGGGAGTGAATAATGCTTTGAGATAAGGAAGCAGCAGAATAGGATGTCTTGTTTCTTACACATTAACACGAAAGCGCTTTTTAAATGGCTCTTAGGTTTTTCTTTCCGTCAGTCCCCTTCGCAGCGCGTGAGGGTTCCACCGCTGTGAGAAGTTGGCGTGAGCCACTGCACACCTCCATCAGGCTTCGGCCCTTCCTTCTTCTCTGGTCTCCTTCCCTGTCCTGTCTCCCACTTGCAAAAGATCTGTCTCCTGTAACGTATCTCTTGTGTTCCCCTGCATTTATGTTTTGGGTGTCTCATATGAAAACAAATTCTCATTATCGTCAACTCTAATTAAAGGTAGCATAAATCAATTTCAGAAATACGCCTGTGTGCGTTTGATATGGAAAATAATTACTAGTTTGTTTTTTCTTGTGCAACACAAATTTCCTCAAGATGACACGGTTCCACACGTCCATCCCAATCGCAGCTTCCTGACACCTGGGAAATTACTTTCTGTGTAAATCATAGTTAGTAAACAGGTGACTTTCCACTGTGATAGTGTGATTTGCTGACACTTAGGCCATGAAAGGCCAACACCTGATGACCACGGTGTCAGGCGCCCACAGGGACAGAGGTGTGACCTGCCACTGTGGCTTTTCTGTCTAACCCAGCCTGTGCCCCCGTGTGGCTTCTATCATAGGCAACGCCGGGATGCTGGTGTTTTAGAGGAAGGACTACAGTTTCTGAAGTGAACCGATTTCCTGTATGGGAGGGTGATGTATCCTCCTCCTGTAGTTAGAAAAGAAAGGCACACACCACATTCTGCCAAAGGCCCTGGGCATCTGCTGAACTACCTAATAGGCTGACCCATCTCTGCGCCTTCACTGGCTTCTCGCGGGCGGGCGCAGCAGCCCTACGAAGCTCCTTCGGGCTCATCCTGTGAGCTGGGGTGCCCGAGTCAGGTGGACACCGTGAAGCCCAGGGGGCCAGGCAGAGAGCAGCCCTGGACACGCGCAGCCTGCCTTGGGCACTGCAACATGTGCCCACTCACTAGGCAGGAAGTCCTGTTTCTGTGAGTGGCATTTCCTAAAAGGAGCGCCCCGGGCGGGCACAGGCTCCGCGTGACTGTAACTGCAGTGGCTGAGAGTCACCTTAGGCTTCTCCTGCTCCACCCCTTCCTCTGCGCCACAGCCAGGGTACTGCCTGCTCTCCTCGGGTTCGGGTTTCTCCACAAGAGGCAGTTTTAGAGAAATGGGCCCGGGGAGCAGGACTACAAGGAAACCATGAGCTGCACACTCCACCTCCGGCACCGGAGACCTCTGCACACGCGCCTTGACTGTACCACGTTCCTAGGCACACACTGTGTCCAGTGCCCGACTGCACGTTTTGTAGTTAACTGAATGGCAGGCTTTGCACGCTGTTTCTTAGTGATGCTTTTGGGTTACTTCACAGGTGTGGGTAAGTCACTGGCTTTTGCTGGCCTGTGGAGGAAAAGCCCTACGTGGGCCTCGGGTGTGCTTCTGTGGCCTGAGCTTGCTGCGGAAGCCCAGCCACCCCCCAGGTAGAAAATGGTGCCACAAGCAGCGGCCCTGTGAGGCTGTGCCCATGCAGGTGGTCACAGCTGCCGGAGTTCCGGCAGCTCCCATGCACCTTGCCTTAGTCATTGGGCATCAATAGTGGGCAGTTCTGGGGCCTCAGGGGTAGAATCACACACACAAAACTGACAGCACTTTCGGTTATTCTTTCCTAAATTTATGTTAATATTTGAATATGCAATATTGTAAGTATCAAACCTACACTAAAATACAAGCTAATAGTCCTCTGCTGAGGTCTTAGGGATTTGTTGCCCAGAAAAGTATTCACGCTAATAAGAGATGCGTACAACCCGGACATCTTAAACAAACAAATAAACAAGTCCAGTCATTCTCTTCTCTAAATGATGGCAGGTTCAACAAAATGGTCAGATATGCTTTTTTCCTTAAAAAGCTAAAAATTACAAAAAGATAGCATCACTCAAGCTCCCTTGCAAGGAGCTGCCCTGTGCCGAGGGATCTTTCTTTCCTGTAAGCAGCTTTGCCTGCAATTGCATGGCACACATGAGGCACAGAGGATAAAGCCTTGGAGTCCAAGTCCGGTTTTTAGTGGCATGAGCTTGAAAACTGGTCTTTTTGCTTTAGTCCTCGGTGAAACTGGATCTGAGTAAAGTGCTTAGATGTTTTACTTTAATACATTTAAATGCTGAGGTGAGGTTCAGGGACCAAAAGTGGCTGATCAGCCCCGAATCCTGATCACTGATTTAAGAATTAA